ACTTAGCGACAAGATATGCCTAGAATTTCTCTTCTTTTCCAATAAATTATTAACGACAAAGTACTTATGTACTTGCGTCAATCACAGTTGAGAAAGGAATCATAAGGCAAGTGGTTAACACGTTCGCTGTCAGCGTTTATTTCTAAATATTAGAAAAATGAAACTGAAACGAGTCATTGAGTTCCTAAATATATTGTCGTAGTTTATAATTTCTAATAACAATATCCATAGGATTAATTTCATTTTCGTTATGTAAAAAATAGGATTACGATCTTCACAAATCTGTGACGCTGGTAGCAAACGTGTCAAGCAATTAATTCTTTTATTTTGAAACCCAATTCATACTTCCGTAGTGAACAATATCTGTATAAATCTTCGATATGCAATCCTGTATTACACTATAAACACATTGACGAAACAAGTTCTCGCTGTTAAAAACTCGTTACCGTAAAAACAAAGAAAAACGTCGGCTTCCTCTTTTATCTCGGTGTTCACGTACCAAAGCTAGGGGCGAAGCTCTCTCCCTTTACAAATAATTCGTAACGTAGAGGCCCGAAGGACGATTCCTTCGGGAAGAGATTTTTCCGGTGGAGCAGGCGGCTCCCCGATTGTTCGCGGTGGAACGGCGCAATGAAAGCTCGATAGTACGAACAAAAAGCCGTGAGGTAGACATAAATAAATAGGTGGTGGGTGTGGTTGGTAGGCCGCACACATGGCGTCGTGACCCGTCTCTTCTCTTCGTGAGCTCGGGGCTCGCTTAAGTTATGCCCTGCGGAATGCTGCTGCTCCCGCTTCTTTTGGTGTTGTGGCTAAACGCAGTTTCAGCGTACGGTGTGCTTAGTCTCGTTCACTCCCCTTTTTTTCGATCCTTCGATTTATTAAGTTCGATTTATTAAGCGCACCTTTATCAATTCTTTCTTATTCAAGGAAAAAATAAATTTACCATCCGTCACGAGAAGCTATTCATACTTCATTCATAATTAATTGAAATTAATTGTATTCATGAATTAAATTCACTTGACAAATATACAATGTTATTTTGGTCAATCATATTCCCGTAGAGTACACTTTCACTTAAGAATCGGATGAAAATGAGGAAACTCGAATCTTCATTACAAGCAAACGTGAAAATATAAATTATCTTTCCTTCTCAAATATTTCACATTAAATGGTCCATGTTATTCACGGTAAAAATACTAACGTAAGATATATAATGATAATAATCTGTTTCTTTCCCGAGATCTCAGCTCGTCATCTATGTTTCCTCTCTCCGCATTGAACCAGCGAAAAGAATAAGGAATAATTCAGTTTTTCTTTTCTAAATGTAAATTGGAGCAGCTAATGAACGAACAAAGGATTCCGGAAACTTTCCAGTTAACGAGGAGAGCGCAACGGCGTTGTCGTAGTTTAAAGATCGTTTAGCATCCCCTTTCATGACTAATGTATCGAGTGGTAGCCTGAGGAGCAGTATCGTACGTTCCCTCTGAATAGAATCCAGTATCGGGACTTTTTCCAGCGGGACCATAGTTTCGAGGGTCAGGTCTTCGGTTAGCCGGCGCAGTACGACGTTTCTAAGCCCGTGTGTAACGCCGTTCATGACTTAACACGGTGCTTGGGTTCGGCTGTGCTTTGGCGGTTCAGGCTGCCTGGACAATGCCGCATTGTTTCATCGTCGTAGGCTATCTAGTCGGCACGGTAGCAGGCCCGAACGATGTTTATTATCCTCTTGCGCAACAAAACAAAATGCCCCGGTGTTATATTATCCTCCGCTTCGTGGTCGAATCAGTTTCCCATATAAAATCCACGGACGCCGATGTTCCGTCGTAACTTCAAAGGAGGCACGACCCGACGATACCCTAGGTGATGTCCTTGGCGAATCCTGGAACTTGGACGATCGAGCTCAATCCTCGGAAAATCGGATCTTGCTTCGATCTTTACTTTGGAATCGTTGGGACAATGAGACTCTTAACACTAAAACTACCGAGCAATTAAATGGACTTTTAGTAATTTCGAAACTGTTGTAATATAGAAACTGTAAGAACGCATCTATTGAGACCTTAGTTGATTTACAATTCAGTTTCTGTATTGCTAAATTATATTCTTGAATAATTTTTTAGAGAAACATCTGTTATCTTTTCAATAATCGCAAAAAGAAGAAATCAGGAATGGGTCATTTTGAGTCGTCTGGTAACTTTAGTGTTAATTGATAGATTAATTAGATATTTACATAGTTTAACCCCTTCCACTCGTATGCCAATCTTTTTTCCAACGAGAATACTACATTTTTTGTGATTCGATTTTTTCAATAAATTTATCAGCGATTCTAAATGTTTTCGGAAAGTTATTTTAATAACCGATAAAGTCCTACATTGTTCCTCGGTTCTTAAATGAAAGAAATGAAATAATTTTGCAATTAATGACTAAAATCATCTATATATTACATGCATGCAATAACCAATATTAACTTTTACAGACCAGAACAAAATATAGATTTTCGTAAACACTCCCCCACAAACTAAATAAATCGCATTCTTCAGAACCGATTCACATTGTTCTCTGTATTTAAAATAAAATTTCCAATCACCCCAGATACACCGTTGCATCTCCCAAATTTTTTCCTTCCAAGGCAAACATGATTCATCCTCGGTGATGTCCTACGGGGAGCCGTATCAATCATCGATGTCATCGGGCCGAATCGCGTGGATCGAGCGCGTGGCAAGGAAATCCGCCCCTATCGGTCGAGGAATCCG